ATAGATAGATAGATAGATAGATAGATAGATAGATAGATAGATAGATAGATAGATAGATAACCGGGGGCTGGAGAGATGGCTCAGAGGTTAAGAGCACTGTCTGTTCTTCCAGAGGTCTTGAGTTCAGTTCCCAGCAACTGTTATGCCTAGTTCACGAGACCCTCAGAGACCACCAGGAAACCACTCAATGCAAGAGCAAGAGAGCTTTATTATGAGAGTGAGTGAACTCAGGACCCAAGCCTCACTGATGCAGCAGTAGAGAAGTGGGACCATGAGCCCTGGGTGAACAGCGTTTTTAAAGGGAAAAACCACAAACTGGGGATTTTCATGCCTTGGCCATGTTTTTCATGCCATGTTACAGGATTAAGTAAAAGTCATAGGGGTGAGGTGACCCTTTAGCTGAAGCTTAGCTTACAATGGCTATTCTTTTAAACTATATCTGGAATGTTGGGGAAATTTTTCCCACCCGATTCTGATTGGCTTTTGCCAGGGGAATTATCTCTATTTTCTACCAAGCATTTATTCTGTGATATTTCCTGGAAGCTGTTGCTAGAAGAGTTAACTCTGTTTTCTGCCAACTGTACATTCTATGATATTTCCTGGTACCTGAGTTCAGCCCTAAGTGCACAAAATGGAGTTCTCATCTCAAAATGGAGTCACCCAAGCTAACTTAAGCTCTTCACAACCACATGGTGGCTCACAACCATCTGTAATGAGATCTTGTGCCCTCTTCTGGCATGCAGGCAGAATACTGCATACATAATAAAAATCTTTAAAAAAAATCTTGGAAAAAGCCATCTTGGTTTAAACATACATATTTTAAAAATTTAATGTTGTATTTTATGTGTGGATTTTTGCCTGCATGTATATTTATATATCACATGCATGTCTGGTGCCCATAGAGGCATCTGACCTTCTGGAATTGGAATTAAAGATGGTGTGAACAGCCAAGCACGGTAATGCATACTTGTAATCCCAGCAGGTGGATCTCTGTGAATTTGTCAGCCTGGTCTATAAAGTAGGTCTAGGACAGCTAAGGCTACACAGAGAAACCCTGTCTCAAACAAACAAACAAACAAACAAAAGATGGTTGTGAGCTGCCATGTGGGTTTTGGGAACTGATCCTGAGGTTCTCTGCAAGAGCAGCAAGTGCTTTTAATCACTGATGCATCTCTCCAGTCTTAAACATAATCTAATTTTAGTGAACCTACGATCTATTAAAATTTCAGTTAAGTTTGACTATTATGAGTAATGACAGGCCTTTGGCAAAACAGAGGACTAAATGACATTTTAGGACAATGTCCTGCTGTGCAGGTTAGACTGGGCTTCTTTTTTTTGGTTTTGTTTGTTTGGTTTTTTTTTTTTCAGGACAGGGTTTCTCTGTGTAGCCTTGGCTCTCCTGGACACCCTCTGTAGGTCAGGCTGGCCTCGAACTCACAGAGATCCACCTGCCTCTGCCTCCCGAGTGCTGGGTTTAAATGTATGTGCCCAGATTAAATATGACACTTTCTGTAGTCAAGTATAAATGGGTAAAACATAGTGGAGATATTGATCAGGCATGCACTGGCTGCCATATCTCTCCTAACTGTTCTGCAGCCACAGAACAGCAGCAGCTATGTGGAGACAGGCACATGTTTGCTAAAACCAGGTCATAGCTGAGCATATTGGCCCCTATCTACAATTCCAGAACTTACGAGGTGGGGAAAGGGGATCATGACCTCAAGGCTATCCTTGGGTACACAGTGTGTCTGTAGAACAACCTGGACTATATGAGATCCAATCTCAAAACAAAAACAAAAACAAACAAAAAGAAAAAAAAAAGAAAAAGAAAAACGTTGGCTCAGAATTCTGAGCCAATTTATTGGGAGGGAATATTCCCTGCTAAACCTTGACTAGCATTAATGAATCTGGTGATAGTTTTTTGTGCTTTATCTCCCTGTCAAAGGAATTGAGCTGTAATGCTGTGCGTAAAATTCCCTTTCTGTGAGTGTGTTTCACTGTGTTGTCAAATGAGTTATCTATGTCTACTTTAAAAACATGTATTTGCTTTTTTTTTTTTTTTTAACCAGACAAATGAGTTTCTTGCAATGACGAGTGAGCAGAAAACAAAACTGAAGTGGCAGTTTCTTTTGGAAAGAAGCAAAATTTATTTAAAAGTGAGTATATTTTAGAGTAGTATTAGTTTATAAATTCAAGCAATATAAAAAAGATCTGCATAGGAGGCTTTTTTTTTTTTTTTTTTTTTTGTTAAGAGCTGAGACTAGAACCAAGGGACTTTCATATGCTAAGCAAGTGCCCCAGCTCAGGAATGTGTTGTCATTAACAGCTCAGTTCCAGATGTACAGAAGGTTTTATCTGTCAAGGAAACAATGGGAAAAGTCATAATAAAGGGAGTGAGTTATCAATGACATTACATAGGCCAGTGAAGAAAATGCCCTTTATTGATAACTTCAAGACAAGGCAACAGACATCACAGTAAAAATTGGCCGTTCCCAGTCTTGCCTGCCATGGCACCACTCTTTGATGAGTGAGAGGGTGGTTGAATAGCAGCTCAATGTCTTGTGTCTGGGCTGATATAGCTATGGTGTAAACTCCAGCGTCAGCTTTCCCCAGCCTGTGCAACCCCTGGATACAAGCTCACGCCACTCAGTCTGTGTAACTTATGTGACCCCACAACTGCAAAGGGCCAGCACTGACTCCTGAGACATTCTCTAGTGTTAGAGGGTCAGAGCATTTCAGTACTGAAGCTGTGGAAGGCAGGGGAGGATTTGACAAACTGCTGGAACCTTGTCTAGGTCACTGGCAAGGCGATAAGAGCCAGTCTTTCCATGCTTTTTAGTGTTTTCTCTTGTAATCTTAGAAGTAACTGAGCTCCAGTTTGCATTTTCTGATATTTATTCTATTAGAATTTAATACTGAGGAAATTACAAACAATTTGTGAGCATACATGCCATTAGTGGTCATGGCAATGATATCCTCTCATACCCTACAAATGGCAGAGAATGGGACTAGTGGTGTCAGCACTTTGATAAAACTCTGACAACCCCTTCTGGGGTCCGTGTAAATGCTGTTTCTATTCCACCGTAGCCTCATAGAGGCTGTAATATTTCCAAATGTTTTTCTTTTCTAGTAGCCTCAAGGTCAATCTGAATAGTTTGCAGATGTGGAGCCCGTACTGGCCTCACCAATATTTCAAGAACCTGGGTTTGGGGATTGTGTAACCATGGGTTCCAGGCCCTAGGAGAGAAGTTAGACACATGCTATTTTTCCATGCATTCATGTGGACCCACAAAATGTTCTGCTCCACCATTATAAGAACACACATGACCTTGCTAATGAGGTTGATCATTTTAAACAATTTATGTTTATTTTATGTGTGGGTGTTCTGCCTGTGCATATGTCTATGTAGCGTATGTATGCAATATTGCTAGAGACTAGAAGACGGCATTTGATCCCATGGACCTGGACTTACAGAGGGTTGGTAGCTACCACATGGGTGATAGCTAGTGAACCAGGGTCTTCTGCAAGATCAGCAAGTGCTCTTAATCCCTGAGCCATCTCTCTAGCCTTGTTCGATTGCTTTAAATTCACTGAAACATGTATAAAGTATTCCAGATTTGACTCATGTATACAAATTGTCCTCAAGTAAAAGGATATTGGATCTTTCCAAAACATATGCTTAAAAGATTGGATTTGGGGTAGGGCAAGTGCTGAAGATATGGCTAAACTGTTGAGAACAGTGGCTGTTCTTCCAGAGGACTTGAGTTCATTCCCAGCACCCACATGGGGCTCACAACAGTCTTTAACTCAGGTTGCAGGGGATCTAATATCCTCTCTGGCCTTCGAGGACACCAGGCGTACAACTGATGTGCAGACTTGAAGGCAAAACACCCATACATGTAAAAATGTATTTTTTGTTTTGTTTCTTTGGAGATAGGGTTGGACCTCACTATTGACTGGTTTTAAGTAAAAACATGAATGTGTGTGTGTGTGTGTGTGTGTGTGTGTGTGTGTGTGTGTGTGTGTATGGACTAGTGATGGAATCCCCTAGTCAAGACTCTACCAGTAAGATATACCTAGATCCTAAAAGATATCTAAGTTGTATTTATGAAAGATTTTGGACACATATAATACGATCATAATACACAAATAAATAAATAAATAAATAAATAAATAAATAAATAAATAAATAAAACAAAACAGAGCCTGTGAGCCAGGTGCAGTGGCCTAAGCCTGTATCTACTTAATAAAGGAAGGCAGGAGAATTGCTTGGGGCCAGGAGTTGGATACCAGCATGTGTAATAGCAAATCACAAGACCCTGTCTCAAACAAGGAAAAATATAAATGTAAGAATTCCTATTATTTGAGAAATTTGGTCAAGTATATCAGCTAGGTAATCTTAGTATCTGGGCAACGGAGGCAGAAATACCAGAAGTTCCTGTTCATTCTCAACTGCATAGGGAGTTTGATGTCATCTTGGGCTATATGAGACTTGGCCTTTAAAAAAATCCAAAACAAAACTCTTCCTATAAAGATGAAACAGTTTCTATAATTCTCATACCTCAATTAAAACTGGTTGCCACTTAAAGGGATTCCAAGCTGGGTCCAGCAGTGTACACTTGTAATTCCAGCAGTCATGACACGAAGTAGGAGGATCATGAGTTTGATGTCAGCCAGAGTTACACTGTAGAACCCTGTTTCAGAAAAGCACAAAAACCAAAGAACAACAACAAAAATCTTGCAGGTCTTCTTTGTGACCATTGGTTTTCAACTTTGTGTATAAGGCAGTGTTTAAATCTGACCTGCTGTCTCTTTTTCTCCTTCAGCTGATTTTATCACACAGAGCAAGGGGTGGACTGAAAGTTAGCATACTCTCCTGTAAGCTTGCAGATCCTATCGAGGCAAGCAGGAACCTTGCTGGAAAAGGACACACTTAAAGCCAGGTTTTGTTCCAAAATGTGGAAAAATATAGGCATTTAACTCTTTAAAATAGAATGTTAGTTTGAGAACTATGTGTAAAATTACATTTTGCCTAAATATAGTAAAACTATTTCTTAGATTGTCACTGTTTCCTTCTGGAGTTGACTCAGCTCCCTGGAAAACCATTTCTACTAGCTTTACCCTGTCACACCAGAATATTTGAATATTCATGTTGTAAATATTCACACTGGAAAATATTTGCTTATGTAAAATAATAAACATGCTTGAATCTTCCTCACAGATATGAGTGGTTTCTTTGTCTCTGAAGGAAGGTTAGAGCCTCCCAAAATGTTTTCGCTGTAGTGTGGTGGCACATATCACTTAACAGGACACAGTGAAAGGTTTTTGATGTTGGCGAGACGGCAAGCCTATGCAGGAGCTGGGCTGGCTTCAGTGATGAGGCTCCGGAGCTACCTGGTACATGCAAAGGCTTGCAGATGCAAGCTTGGCACCAATGAATCAGCAGGGAGGAGACCAGCTTCAACAGTTATAGGAGCGATGCGTGAGTCCCAGGAACTTTGAAGAGGGAATTTTCTCAAGACTTTAGGGTGGCAGTTGCTTTTTATCCAACTCTTCTCTGCAGCAGAGCAGGGCATAGTGCTTAGCCCCCCGTGGATCTGAGCTACTTGTTTCAGGCACCGGCCCTTCTTTAAGACCCAGCCTAGCTCGCCACTGATTGCAAACGTCAAAGCTGACCCATTGTCCTGCTCAGGGCTGGACACAGAAAAGTGAGTATGCTGAACTCTTATTATGAAGCTGGTATTGGAAGGAACATGTGCGTTAGCCAACGCTTTCTATGGTTTTTACTATATTGAGTCAAGAAGGAGATTTGCCAGGTGATCCTTGTATGTTTAAGCTGAGCTAATAAATGAGGTAGTGAAGGACTTGATTTAGACAAGCAAGATGGAACTGATAAAACAGATGTGGATCATGTAAGCAAGGTGAGTCATCAGGGTGACAAGGAAGGCGAGATGAGTTGGAGCAGCCTGTCTGGAAAGAGGGAAGTGAGGATTCACATCTGCTATTCGATGAGAGTGGGTATGGGCTTGTTAGTCAGCTTTCTGTTGCTGTAGCAACATCCCAGAAGTTCACTTAAAGGAGGAGGGAATAGTGTGGCTTGTGATATCAGACATTGTCCCTCTGCCCATTGCTTTTACTTGAGGCTGAATATCATGATTGGCAGCACATTGACCTCTGTTTACCTCATAAAGATTGGGAAGCAGAGAGAGGTTAGGGTTCCCAAGAACATGCCCCAAGGACCCCTTCCTCCTACCAGATCCCTCTTCCTCCCTTTGTATTCAGCCAGGTTTTCCTACGTGGCAGGCTGGCCTTGAACTGTGTAATCCTTTTGCCTCTGAAGTACTGAGATTATAGGGGTAGTGTTGAATGGGGTATGTACTGAAGGTTCCTTGATGTTCCTGTTTCTATCTCCCAGGTGCTAGGATTAGAAAGGTACATCACTGTGCCAGGCTATGTCTTCATTTCATATCCTCCCAACAGCCCAGAATGAATGAATCCATTGATGATGCCAGAGCTTTCTTGACCCAGTCCCTTCCCAGAAGTCCAGTAGGGGCAACCAAGCATTTTGACTCAAAGTACAATGGTGTCCCTCGCTGGATTATGTCAAGGGCGGCTGGGCCAGAGCAGGTCTGCACGTACCAGCCTGGTTCCTGTGCCAGTGGTCTTCAGTTACATGGCTGTCTCATCGCTGGTTTCTACCACATAATAGAGACATTCTCCTGGTGGGTTCCCTGGCAATGCTGTTCCCTGGCACAGCTAAGTACCAGTGTGGCCAGCAGAGGGCTCTAAATTACCTGCTCAAAACCTAGGTGACCTCAGTCTTGGCTCTGAACTGTTACCTATACTTTTGTTCAGGCTTTTGCTGACAGTGGAGGAATCAGCCCAGTGACAAAGCCACACCAAATCAAAAGTATGTTTCAAAGTTTAACTTACATGTTTATGTGAATATAAGGTTACAAAATCAGTGAAAAATTGCTTTTACCTGTGATCAAGAACTAGATCAACTAATATCTGAAATTTCAGTGTAGACTAGCCAAAATGCAGGCATGCAAAGAGGTGGAAATACCCTCACACCAGCACCAAACACCCATGGTCTACCCATGCTTCTTGTCTACTCCACAGAAACCAAAAGAATTGGTTTCTGCCAAGCTATAGGGTTCTGTGTATGTGTGCATGCATTCTCTATACTGAGGAATCCTGAGCTACTTTTACAACTATTTTTTAAATCAAGTTTTGTATTCTATCATAGAAAATAATAGACAGGATAACTGTAATCTCTCACTCACGAGTCATGTTTTTTTAAAAAAATTACTTATTTACACATCTGAGCACTCTATTTGCATGTATGCCTGCATGACAGAGGAGAGTATCAGATCCCATGATAGATGGTTGTGAGCCACCATGTGGTTGCTGGGAATTGAACTCAGGACCTCTGGAAGAGCAGATGGTGCTCTTAACCGCTGAGCCATCACTCAGGCCCCATGAGTCATGTTTTAAATGCATTGTTGTTTTATATTCTGATAAAATATAAATAGCAGCTCTGGGGGGGGGGTGCATTCCAGCATTTGAGAGGCAGAGGCAGGTGGATCTCTGTGAGTTGGAAGCCATCCTGGTCTACAAAATGAGTTTCAGGCTAGCCAGCCAGGGTTACATGGAGAAACCTTGTCTTGGGGAAATATATATATATATATATACAGAGAGAGAGAGAGAGAGAGAGAGAGGCTTTCTCTGTGTAGCCTCAGCTGTCCTGAACACTTAGAACATTTGTGAACACTTAGAGAGTTAAGAAAATGTTTACCTCCAGGCACAGTGGTGCATGCCAGTAATCCCAGCACTCAGGCAGGCAGAGGCAGGTGGATCTCTGAGAGTTCAAGGCTAGCCTGGTCTACAAAGTAAGTCCAGGACTTGCTGTCCTGGACACAGAGAAACCCCCTGTGTCAAAAACCAAAAAAAAAAAAAAAAAAAAAAAAAAAAAAGAAAGAAAGAAAGAAAGAAAGAAAATCTCTATTATGAATTAACTGTCCTCTAAATAAATTATGTATGAAGCATATTACAGTTCGACAGTTCAACCTATTTTTAAAGTCTGTGTTTAGTAGTGAGGCGCCTTGGCGCACACCTTTAATCCCAGCGCTTGGGAGGCAGAGAACAGAGGATTTCTGTGAGCTTGAGGCCAGCCTGCTCTCATAATGAGTTTCAGGTCAGCCAAAGCTACATAGAAATACCTTGTCTCAAAACAAAACAACAACAAAGAGCTGTTTCTATGTTTACTGTTACAAACAACAATGAAACATTAAATTGCTATTGTGTATGCTTATGTATTTAGTTGTTGTTCTATAGATCAAGCTGGCCTCAAATTCACTAGGCACCTTAGGCTGGCTTTTAACTCCTGATCCTCCTGCCTCCACCTCCCATGTACTGGGACTATAAGGGTATAACACTATGCCCAGATCATAAATTGCTATAATATATGTTTTTATTTCAATAGTTTATATTTTATGTGTATGGGTGTTTTGTCTGTGCCTATGTCTGTGTACCATGTGCTGGATGCCTGTAGAGGTCAGAAGAGAGCATAAGATCCTCTGGAGCCAGAGTTACATACAGATAGCTGTGGACTGCATGGGTGCTGGGAACCTAACTCAGTCTTCTGCAAGAGCAGCCAGTGCTGCAAACCACTCCAACCCCATAAGTTGCTATAATATTAATAATTAACATTACTGAATGTTTCTTACATGACTTAGAAACAGTATTTTACTGTTATCATCTGCTAGGTATGAGGGGAATTATTTTGTCCATTTCCCAGATGGGACATAAAGGTTCACACAGAGATAGAAACAAAGGTAGCTGAGTGAGCAGGCTCTGAGGCTGCAGGTTCAGGCTCCCTCTGCAGTTCTCAGGTCTCCTGCTCTAAGTTTCTCCTTCTGTGGTTCTTTATTCCAAATTTTCATGGCAACTGGGAAAACTCACGTTAAGTCATGCAAAATACATAGACTTACGGGCTTAGTCTATGATCAGCAAATACTACTTGTCTTTGAGTCCCTATCACTTGTTGTTAATATTTTTGGTGATATATTTATTTTATGAATTTTTCCTAGTATGTTATTGCTGGAGTCCAGCCTTAGTGAGGACAGGCCTGAAGCACGGTGGATGCAAAAGCAGAGGAGGAATGAGTTAGGCAGGGGGATGGGTGGAGTTTTGCAGCCTGATTGACTTGTAGTCAGAGCGCTTCTTTGTTTATACAGAACTCAGCAGGCAGGGATATATGCATGTTGTTCCAAAGCATAGATCCTATCATTTTGCCCCCAGACACCTGTTTTAACTTCCTCTTGGTCATAACTTTTGATGTACCATGACAGAACAGAGTTATCTTTTACAACCATTTTCCCTCATCAACCCACAACCCAACTTTTGTCAGTCTTGTAGTTTTGAGGGCTTGTTTTCCCAAAGCACAGCAGCTGGTAGTTCTTGTAGTTTCAAGGACACTAGACAGGAAGAAAATCTCGGAGCAGCCCAAGCAGTGTATTTATTATCAGCTTTCAATAATCAGAGTGCTAATCGTCCTTAGGCCCAGGAAAAATCTTCATGTCAAAGGTGCTGCAGTTATTATTCAACTTCTTCTATAATACAGTGTTTACATGTTATATATTTGTAGGATTTATTTCTATGTCTAATCCTGGTATTCTTTTGATCCTTGGTCATATGACACCACAGTGGCTCTGTATGAGTTAACTTTTTCTAAGAAAAGGGAGGCCTTAATACTTTATTCTCTTATCATTTACCCACAGCATTCTTTGTCCCCCAGTAGTACGAAGAGGCTTTTAATTTGCTCTGCTGCCAACTTCTGTAGCCCACTGAAGCTTGTTTACCTTTTAATTTTACTTAGTTCTGATTATCCTCTTCTGCAGGGACAGATGTTCCAAGAGTGTCTTGGGGTCAGAGCCTCATA